TGTCTCTACAATAAAAATATGGTTTGTTATATGTTTCCATCATATGTGAGGGTCTATATGCAATGATAGCTTTCAGTATCATTAAATTGCCCTCTTATTATTCTTTTCTAAGAAATGGTGAAGAAAAATGTAAAAGGGGTGAAGTCGCCAATGAAACCATGCTTGCTGGTTCCACTAGTTTCCATGGTGATTGCCCAAACACTTTGATAAATCGAACACTTTGTGTATTTCACAATAATAAAAAAAAGAAAACCTGTTTCTTTATGAATATGAAAAGCCCTCTCCTTTGAGCAAGATTGTATAGAGACTTGGAGAAACAGGAAAGTTTTTTTAAATATATATATTTTTGAAGGAGTTCATTAAACCAGGAAATTTACCAGGAATCTCCAAATTTTAGACCAAAAGAGCTGAATAGGAACATTTCTCCAAATCAGTTATTTTGCCTTATTAGATATTTTTACTAAAAATTGTAAATTTCTTTGTTCTTTGGTGGGTGCTGTATTGAAGGTGGTAGGTAATATTGGGAGATGGAATTATAGAAGGTGGAGGTATCGTTCAAGGTGGTGGATAACATTTGGATAACATTTGGAGGAAGTATCATTGAATGCAGTGGGTAATATTGGGAGGAGCATTATTTAAGATAGTGGGTAATATTGAGAGTGGGCATTATAGAAGGTGGAGACTAACATTGGGAGGAGGTATCATCGAAGGTGGTGGGTGGTATTGGGAGGGGGCATTAAATAAAGGTGGTGGGTAATATTGGGAGATGGCATTATAGAAGGTGGAGGCCTCATTCAAGGTGCTGGATAATATTTGGAGGAAGTATCATTGAATGCAGTGGGTAATAATGGGAGGAGCATTACTTAAGATAGTGGGTAATATTGAGAGTGGGCATTATAGAAGGTGTAGACTAACATTGGGAGGAGGTATCATTGACTGCATTGCATTAATACAAATTACCTCGACACCAAAAAAACAGGAGCAGGGCATTCACTGTACAGGGAATTGTTAGGAATCAACAATAGAATTGCTAAATTTAGGGCAAATTAGCCAAATCTAAAAAGTTATCCAATCCTTTTATTTCCCGTCTCAGCTATTCTGGCTTAGCATTTGCAATTCCCCGACCGATTCCCAGTTTAGTAAGTAAGGCTCTCTGTCAAACATCATCTGCAGAGCCTCATTTCCTCTACCCTAATGCATATTCAGCTTATAAAATGAGTTTGAAACATCATTTAAATATTAATCTTTATGTAGATTTTCCTAATTTTACGTATACGCGGTCATTTTTCCTGTTGAGCGGTTAGCCTGCATCAAGAAAGTTCCCGTAGCAGATGTTAGCCGGGTGCATTTATGTTATTTATGGTTAAAGTCGTATAAAACTTTGGATTTATACTTGTGATTCCGTCCATGCTGTTTGAGACCAGATGCATCTACAAAACGTAACAGGCACATTTGGCCAGTAACAATTCTGCAGGGGGGAATTACAGCAAGCAAGCACCTAGATTTTCTGCAAGGCTGTGAACCTCTCTAGTGGGCTATTCAAAGCCGTCTCCAGCTGGGCAGATCAGATTCTTGCCGAGGTCTGCGTGTTATCAACGATGCCTTTATTTTAGAGTATATTGTGTTCCATACAACTGGCGGGTGTCGCTGCCTACCCAACATTTGCATACCAACACACACGCAAACACACACCCTCCCGACGCCAGCTTGTTTGTAATTACACAGGCCCTGCTAAAGCAATTCATCTGCATACGGGCATGTCCTTATATGTCCCTGCACACTGCAGTGACGTCACCTGCAGCTAAAACACACAGCGTGGAGCTTTTGCTGTAGGGATAAAACGCAAGTTTAGAAAAACAAAACACATCGATTCATTTCTACTGATTACTTTATTGTCTAATCCCTGACACTGCTCGCCTCGGCATTTAAAGCCAGCGGAAGGGAGAGAAGAAAAGAAAATGTAAGATGTGAAAGGACTTAACCTAAACCGAGCAGTTACAGTATCTGGAACATCTAGCAGTAATAAAATGGAATGTTGCATGTGATGCCATTTCATCCTCAAATGACACTTTTTAACACGCCATGTCCCGCTCTGCAAGTTAGTGATTTGAACTGCATTTCACATGATGCTTGTCCAGTTTGAAGGTTGACAGAAGGTTGGCAGAAGAGACTCGTGGGAATTGTAGTTTGAAAACATCTGGTGATGAGGGTTAGCCATTAAAGCTTCCTGTAGTAGGAGTGTGCCTTTTGTTATCAGCTTAGAACATTAATTTTCAAATATCCCTGGGCTCAGCCGCTTTCAGGACCACAGAGCTGTCCCATTGACTCGTTGTATTCACAGCTAATGTGAGTCTGGCAGACAGAGACCGACTGCGATCTGTGACCAATTTCTATATTACTTGTGTTTTGCATTTGTTTTAAAGAGCCCCCATAGGCACCCAGTCCACTTTATCTCAATGAAATGGTCTGGGTGCCATATCTCTGGTTAACCCTGAAACTAAAAACATTCCAGTTTTACAGGAACAGCAATATGTTCATTGTCAGTGTCTGCAGCAACAATTGAGTTAAACTGGGTGCTAGCACAGATTATTCTCATTGAGAGAATTTTAGTGGGAGTGTGCATGCGCATTAGCCTCCTAATGCTTTGATGCAAGAAAGCTTTGGATTGGTTGAGATTCATTCAGCCAGGGTGGCGGAGCACAAGTGGAAAACCCCTGCAAGTGGTGGTAGACACCTACATGGGTGGGGGAACAGTACAGTGTTAGGAATACATGTTTCTATTCCTACTAATATAGTGTTTTTAGCATAGCGCACAATATTAAGTTCTACAAGTAAATCAATCAGGTAAAATACAAACCATTTGGACCTATTTTCTTGCACAGTAAATTGTGAGAACTCCATGGATTTTGAAGGCACATGGGCTTAGCGCAGTTTTGAGATTTTCGCATTGTGGTTTATATATAAGTTTATGAGTACACTGTTCACTTTTTATGCTTTTCTCACACCTTTTCAATTTGCACTTATTTCTTTCCCAATGTATGCCAAAATAATCCTCACTGTTTCACAAATGTTCTGCTATAAATGTGTTGAAAAAAGAAGTGTGAAATTGCACCTTTTTTTTTTTTTTTTTAGATACATTTTCCCACCTCTGTTAGATTGGCGGCTGTGTGACAAGTAAGCAACAGTCACAATTTTTCCTTTTTTGAGCAATATGTAAAAATCTTCTCAACAACAAATGCACTTTTTCTCCTAATAAAAGGTGCATTTTCAAATCTTGGTTTAGAATAGGCAAAATGGAAAATTCCTCGAAGTCAGCAATGCTTTCAGTTTAACTTGTCTGGCGTTAAATTTGAAATTCACTTTGAATTCTCACTTTAGTGAATAACTCTGACAATATAAAGAATTTGAAGAGGCAGTGATGTGGATTGTTGGCTCACAAAAAAAAAAAAAAAAAGGTACAAAAACACACCAATGTAGAAATGGTGGATTAACTGTTTTAGAATGTGACGGCAGATAAGAACCATTCGGCCCATCTAGTCTGCCCAATTTTCTAAATACTTTCATTAGTCCCTAGTCTTATCTTATAGTTAGGATAGCCTTATGCCTATCCCACGCATGCTTAAACTCCTTTACTGTGTTAACCTCTACCACTTCAGCTGGAAGGCTATTCCATGCATCCACTACCCTCTCAGTAAAGTAATACTTCCTGATATTATTTTTAAACCTTTGTCCCTCTAATTTAAGACTATGTCCTCTTGTTTTATACACAAGGAAATGGTGCCTGCGCACAAAACCAGCACATACTCGATATCAGACGTTTTACTTGCTATACATAAGTCCAATATTCCCGTCTTTTGGGTGAAAAAATGTGTGCGCTGTTTTGCACAGCAAAAATATAGCACTCAAAGCTGCCGTCAGCAGAGGGCAGGTTTTGTAGCTATTGTTTCAAAGCTATTTTTGATGAAGCTACCCATTACTCTGTTTACAGAACCCCTCACACTACCTCAGCTGCAAGTGATGAACATTTATCATTCTGGGATTTATTCACTAAAGTGTACTGTGAATATTAGGACAAAACAGCTAAACGGAATTCTCCAAACTTTACAGGCTATTTTACCATTTTATAATTTATACAATTACAACTATAAATTTATAGCGCAATTTTGCAGTGCTGTACAAAAGTAAACAAGACCAGAATCTTTTTTGCAAGTGATACCAGTGGCGTACTAAGAGGGGTGTGGGGGAGAGCGGTCCGCCCCGTGTGCCACCAGTACGGGGCTCATAGGCATGCGCACGGGGTGTGCCGGGTGCCTGGGCACACCCTAATCCCCGTGGCACGCCTATGGTTTGAGTCCTGCAAGAACAGCGTTCCTGCACTTTTTTTGAACAGGAACGCTGTTCCAGCAGGCACTCAGCACCCCACTCACCTCTTGCCCCTGTCATGGGGGGCAAGAGGTGATGGATTCTCCCCCCCCCCCCGCTCTCCACCTCAGCCGCGGCAAGGGATCTCTCTGCTGTCTGCTCTCTCTCGCTGCGCGCTGATGCCGGGAGCCGGAATATGACGTCATATTCCGGCTCCCAGCTACAGCAGACAGCCCGCGGGGCGAGAGGGAACAGAGCGCAGACAGCAGAGAGCTCCCTCGTCGCGGCTGAGGTGGAGAGAGGCGCCCGCCCCACTGGACCCCAGGGACAAGTCCACCAGCACTCCAGGTAGGAGGCTGGGTGGACATTTTTTTTAAATTAAAATATAATAATTTGTTCTTGTGTGTCTGTGTGTGAGTGTCTGTGTGAGTGTGTGTGTGAGTGTCTGTGAGTGTGTGTGTGAGTGTGTGTGTGAGTGTGAGTGTCTGTGAGTGTGTCTGTGTGTGTGTGTCAGTGAGTGTGTGTGAGTGTCTGTGTGTGTCAGTGAGTGTGTGTCTGTGAATGTGTGTGTCAGTGAGTGTGAGTGTGTGTCTGTGAGTGTCTGTGTGAGTGTGTGTGTGTCAGTGAGTGTGTGTCTGTGAATGTGTGTGTGAGTGTATGTACGTATATATATATATATATATATATATACACACACACACACACACACACACACGCAGAGCCGGCGCTATCTGTGTGCCGGCTCTGCTCTAAGCCTCCATGGGCCGGCGGGGAGACCAAAGATCTACCTCACCGGCCCACAGCAGCATGGAGGGAGGCAGGAGAGGACCCAGGGAGCTCTAGACAGAAGCTCCGCCAGGTTCCTCTCGCGATATCTGAGTGTTGCTGCGGCAACGCTCAGATCTCGCGAGAGTTAACTCTAGCCCTGCAGGCTAGAGTTCACTCTCCACTGGACCACCAGGGATGGCACATGGCAGCAAGGATTTACTAATCTGCAAAATCCCTCCAAACATACAGCACACACACATACAGCACCTACACACATACAGCTCACACACACACAGTACACTAACCGCAACCTCACAAACACAAACAGCACCTTTAAAAAAAACGCAACACCCTCACACACAGCACACTAACAGCACCCCCACAAACACACACACAAACAGCACCCCCACAAACACACACACACACAAACAGCACCCTCACAAATACACGACACTCACACAAACAGCACCCTCACAGGACAAACACACACACACAAACAGCACAGTCACAAACACACACACACACACACCCTCACATCACACTAACAGCACCCTCACATCACACTAACAGCACCCTCCCACACACACACATCACACTAACAGCACACAGGACACTAACAGCACACACAGCAGTGTGTGTGTGTATATATCTATACACAATAGATATACACACACACACACACACACACACGCGGCGTGTGTTTGTGCTTTAGGTTGCACACCCTAATGCAATAGGCTGCGCACGCCTATGACGGGGCTGCCATGATCCTGGTCTGGATGCTGGAAAGGGGGTTGTGAGCTGTGCCCCATGGCACCAATGGAGAACAAAAATCATAGAATCAAGACCAAAGTCAAGTCAGGCGGCCAGAAAACAGATTAAATGGCAACAAACTGAGTCAGAATAAAAGAAGTAGACAGACAATATAAAAGTACTCACTGAGGGGGTACTAAGAAACCACAAGAAGACAAAGACAGAAACAAGAGGGCCACCTAGTACACCATTACTGTGTATTTTAATCCTATCATTCGCTTTCTTTAGAACACCCTCCATTTCCTTTTAACACCCATCCTCACCTCCTTTATAGTGCCTTTAACCTTTTCCCCATATTTACAGTAACTTTTAACTCCATCCCTCCATTCCTTTACCACTGGAAGCTGGATCCCTGACTTGGATCCAGGGTGGGTGGAGGACAGAGAGACCCCAGCCAAGCTGCGGTGGCTGTGGGGTTTATGGTAGTTATGGTGCTCACAATTACTAGGAAGCAGCGATTGTCGGAGGCACCCAGTCGGGGTGCCAGGTGGTCCGTCACACATGGGATCCCTGATGTGACTACAAATCTATAGTGTGACAATCTCAGACAAGATCAAACAAATACTTCTCATTGCAGTGTTACCACCTCGTTCCTAACCGTTTATTTTATTGTCTTAAAATGAAAATATTATGCAGGTATACCCACATTGTCCTATCGGAAAAAGTATATGAAATATGCAGAATATTTACAAATTGTATACCATCATCTTCAAACCATGTACTTGACTATGGTGTTTGACTACGGTGTTTGACTATTGTGTTTGCATTGGCCAAGCTGCTTGTATTTAAAAAAAAAACTGTTTTCTCCCACTTCTTATAATAAAGAATTTTAAAATAAAAAAATGTTATACTGTTCTATTTGTGAACACAATGTGAAAACCAAAGAAAGACCGTGTGATGCATGTCTTGGAATAAAGCACGTCCACCCATCGCAGTGAGGACCCTGGTCACTTCATATCCCATAATGTATCAGATCCTGCATTTGGCACTGGGCCCCCATCGTTCACATTCACATGGGTCTGAGTCACAAGATTTTGCTGTGTGCCGGCATCCTCCCACATCCTGAAAGATATTCGTGTTACAGCACCATCCTTTCTGTTCTCATTGTTAAGCATATGATTCACCAGCTTATTTAACTATTCAGCGCAAAGTAAAACAGGTTTGACTTTTCCAACAGAAAAAAAAAAAAGAAAAAAAAGAAAAATATAGACACAACAAAAAAGTGTTTTTGAGATCATTTCAATAAAGTCAAACGATGTCACACGCAAGGCAGTATGTGGTCTGAAAACATAATCTGTTCATAAATACACTGAATAAAATTATAAACTCAACACTTTTGTTTTTGCCCGCATTTTTCATGAGCTGAACTCAAAGAGTGAGAAGTGCTCACTAACACAGATTTAGACAGATTTGTGAACAATATTTGAGAGAAATAGGCCTTTTGTGTACATAGAAAAAGTCTTAGATCTTTGAGTTCATCTCATGAAAAATGGGGGCAAAAACAAAAGTGTTGCGTTTATAATTGTGTTCAGTGTATAATGGGTGGGTCACATAGAAAACAAAATAATATTCAAATCTCAACAAACAGCTTACGCTTGACCAAGAATGGTATCTCTTGCAATAATAAAAGAAATTCAAAAACACTAAATAAAATATCTAAAATAGTTATAGTAGATAATATATGCAGAATAGCAATACATGTTAATTTCCATTTCGGCAGCAGAAAGAATAGACTTATTATTATTTTTCGTATTTATATAGCGCCAGTTTATTCCACAGCGCTTTACAATAAAAGGGGAATTTACCAAATGAGACAATAACAAAATGTAACAGGAACAATAGGTAGTTGAGGACCCTGCTCATACAAGCTTACAATCTAGAGGAGGTGGGGTATAAGAACACAATAGGAAGGGTATCGAGGGAGACCCCAAATAGACATGGTGGGAAAGTAGCAGAACTGGAGGTGAGAGTGGAGTGTGGCCCTTTAGGAGAGCGCAAGAGGAAGGATTGAGAGATAGAAGTTACCCTTGGAGGCCAGCTTATGGGTAATCGTATCTCCGAAGACTGTGCCCCCTGGTTAGAGTGGTTGAGATATTTGTGAGAATTCTAGTATTGTACTCTTGGGAAATTCTCATCAATACTTATTTGAGTGTGATTTTTTTACTATCTGTTTAGCTATTCCAATCCCTCTCACTCTAAACAAAAAAAGTATAGAACGTAAGTAAAAAACAATTCACATTTCCTTGACATACTCTAATTATTGGGGGAAAACCTCCATCAACTGGCTCAAATATTTACAGTCCCTTAAATTTGGTTTGAGCAGAATAAAACCTTAAATGACCATGCCATGTGACTGTGTGATCTAACAAGCCCCCCTTACAAATCTGGTCACTGCAATGTTACCCTGTAATAAAAATGTAAACACTGCCATTTCAACCATGTCATGCTACCAGCAGGAGTAACATAAGGTTTAGCCTAAGCAGCTGCCTAAGTGCCAGGATAGGGGTCTCACAACCATGAATTTGCTTTACCCTATTCACCATCCCTAAGTAAAGAATGAATTGGGGGGAGGGAGGGGTCACCCCAGTAACCTACCTTGCCGAACTAGCTCTTAATCCTTTTCTGCATGTCCTCTCTTTCCCAGGCCATATGTAAAGTTTGGGGTGTAAAAAGGTACAAGCTCTGTCCAAAGGACCAGATGTTTAGAAGAGTTTTGTCTGTATTGTCCCACCCCATGTGTGGGAGGGTAGATGTTTATATATTAAGCATGGTGAAAATTTACCCCAGTGGTTTCCTGTAGAAGGAAGAATCCTCTGTCACTTGAGATCTCTTCTTTTTTTCCCTCTTACATACGAACATGCTATGAAGCGGGGGTGGGGGGAATTAGTTAGCCCCTGCAGTTATAGATCTCACTCCTTTGTTAGACCACCCTTGATGATGGTAGGCAACATGTGACAAGGAGGATTACCTGCCGTGGCCTGTCAATTATTCATACACAAAGTCCCTCACTCTGCATGTCTATCCATTTGTTTTTTCCTATGTTAGTCAATAATGGTTCTGGTGTGTTCTAGGTGAATCATACCTGTCCGATACATTGTGGATTTGGAAGAGGTGCAGAAACATGGACATATTTCCACACTTATCTGTATTTTGTGGAGGAAGGAGAAGTGGAAATTCTGTCCTTGCCTTTTAAATGGCAAAACACTAGTGTATATTCATTAAAAGATACCTGTCACCTAAAAATTATATTTTTATATAATTTCAAGTTCTGAAAGGAAATATATATATATATATATATTTTTAATGAAGTATATGCAAAAAAGAAAATAGGAAAAAACTCATTCCTATCTTTAGTATCTGACAGGATCCTCCAGCCATATACATACACCTTGGGTCAGATAGTGTTTGAAAACTGTCATTTAAAAAAGTATTTATTTACTTTCAAAACTTGATGAAAGGGTTATTATATTAAAAATTGTTTTGAGGTAAAAGTTGTCCTTTAAGCACCTTTTCAAAAACAATGTCTAAGATATAAAAAGGCATCTTACAGGTTTTTACGAACACCATGCTGTGCAGATTACGTATCCACATTATGTTGCAGAAATGTATTACAAAGTTGGTTCCAGTAGATTATTTAAAATGCATCTCATTTTGTACCTAATGCCTTATCAGACCAAACTGGGAAGCAGGAGTCCAATTTAATAAGCAGTTTCAACTCGATAGTGGCTTTTATGTTTATCTGCATCTTATCAACCCTATCAAGAGCTCGGCGGAAACAAGGGGAGAGCCACATAGGACTGCATTACCCTTCATGCTGATTGGAAATATAAATTAAACAGACCATGGAAAGCTTAGCAACATATAATTAAAAATTGCTGCCTCACAAAACATTTTCATTAATTTGTTAGCCACTGGACTATAGCATTGCTCAACACTTGGACAGCTGATGGCTCCCAAGTGACGCACAGGTCCACACAACCTCCGTATTCACTTGTGTAGAGGTTGGACTACTGAAGAGTTTACAATGTAATGTGTTTAGAATTCTGTTGTGAAACTTACCTTACGCTTTATTAACATTGTGAAACAGAGATAGTCTGGCAACTTTTACAGTGTAAGACTTACCAGAACACACAGGAGG